ATCTCATGGGATTTTCTCTCCAAAACATCACAACAGCCTAATTAACAAAATTCCTACATAAACCAAGCACAAAAACACATTTAAAATGCTGCTAAATGCTACCGGAATTCCTCCCCCATGTTAGCAAAATTCGGGCAAGCACAGGGCAGCACTTAATGGACAAAACCCAACAATTAAATGGGTAATTTCGAACTTAATGGGGCTGCCACTTACCAGAATTCCAGCAAGCAAACCGGAGCTGGCAGGGAGAAGAAGCCGGCGGCATCTGCAGGGAAACTCACGGGAACTACCCCAAATTCAAGAACCACAACCAAAATTAGAGTAACCCAAGTTAAATCAAGGCTAAGGAGATGATTTCTTGGCTGTGGCTTACCAGAAAAGCCGAAGGATTCACACCCAGCAGAACCCGACGGACAAGGGAGGAAGAGACACCGAGCAGATCTGGGAAAATTCTGGGTTTAATGAGAGTTCTAAGCCCCAAATCTTGTTATTTAACAAGAAAAAAAGAAGAAATTTCAAGCTTTGTCACCAATTTTTCTCAAAGGGGATGAGTCGGTGGCTTAGGGGAGCTTCGGTCGGCAGAGGAGAAGAAAAAAGAGCAGGACGCGCGGATAAGGAAGAAGAAAGAAAGAAAAACTCAGCCATCCTTATCCTAATTTCTTTCATCTTTTAAGTCCCTCAACTTTTAAAAATTTTGCTATTAAGCCCCTCAATAATATTTTTCCCCAGATAAGTCCCTAACTTTATGCAAAATACCACAAAATTTTGGGATATTACAAATGTTATTTAGCTCGGTTAAATTGTTTATTATGTTCTCCATGTCTAGGGGTCTTAGGATCCAAGTTCGTAGTTTAAACTTAACACTTACTGGGCTTTTAGCTCATGGTATTTCCCCCTCCATTTCAAATTTGTAACTTGAAGTAGCAATCACTAGTTTAAGAGCTTCAATATAAGTCCCTTATATTTGTTGTACGTAGAAGCTAGGACTTATGTGAAGACACTCAATGTGTTACCAAAACGATGATTCTGTTTTTGTTATTTTGAATAGCTTTTGATAAGCATTTGCTCTTATATAATTTTTGTGTAAATTACTTTTATGTATATGATATTAAAAATGATTAAAATGGGCATGACTTAACTTATTTTATAACCTTGAGTATTTTGATATTTTTCATTAAAATGGTTTTCCTTTACATGTAATTGATTTTCCTTTTGTAAAATTTTAAACTGATTTGAAAGTAGCTTTCCCTTTAAAAAAACATCTCATCTCATATTATAGGTGTTTTACTTCTACTGCAGTCTTTGTCTATAATTTTTATTTTAGGACTCTTAAGGGACTAAAGGTATATAAGGGAGGGTTTTTACACTAACCATGTACTAATTTATAATTTCAATTGCATGTTAAGCATGCTTCTTTATTAAGCTTATTTCTTGTATTAACTTTTGTCTAACATTATATTTAACTAGAAAAATGTCATTTTAACTTCAGTTACAACTACCAAAGCCATAATTTATACTTACCTTACAAAGCCCAACACCATTCTTAATGAAATTCCTTGAAACCCTTCTCATTTTATTGTTGTTGAAAAGCTTTCCCGCTTGCTACTCTTCTCTTAATCTTGCTTGAGCCCCAGGACATCAATGTAGATCAGTCGAAATTCAACAACTTCAAGAAAACAAAATCAATAAGATTTTGTAGCTACCAACCAATAAAACACATATACCCCTTTCCTCTCTAGCTTGGCTAAAAGAAAGAAAACCCAGAAATTCACAATTGTAAATAGTCACAACATGCATAAGTGGGAATACAAGAAATAATGTCTAAAATTGTATTCTACAAACTAGAATTAGACTATGGTATTTTCAATAGTTTTAGCCACTCTTGCACCACGATTTCTAAAGCTTTTTGGTATTCTTTGTGTGGCTTTTTGTTTATAAGTTTTGTGCATGATACGTAATTGTTACACAAATTAGTCTAAAAGGTTCTCTTGATATGGGTTGGTAGTAGAGTAATTATATTTCACTACTTTTGTCAATAATATTTTTTTTTTTTCTTAACAACTATTGGTGAGTATTCTTTTTCATATCTAATGTGAAAAATATTGTTTATATATCTTATTGATTTTTTTTTCTTACTTTACTATAGGTTTGACGTTTGAAAGATAAAGAAAATGAGATATACAATGAGGAATTTAAATTCTTGATTTACGTGACAAAGGGTGAACCAATATATAAGTTACCTTAGTAATGGTTGGAAATTTTGCACTAAGAAGCATAACATGAAGTCGAAAACACAAAATAGTGAAATATATGTAAAAAGAGATGGGGCCATTGATTATTATGGGGTATTAAATGAAATTATTAAATTAAATTATAAAGCTCATAGTGTGGTTCTTTTCAAGTGTGATTGGTATTTGGTGGGATGTAATCAATAAAGGAAGAAAAAAAGGATGTAAAGAAGATCAACATGGATTTACACTAGTAAATATTACATGTAAACTTCAAACTAATGAACTTTTTATATTACCACTTGAACTAAACAAGCCTATCATGTGTTAAACACAAAAGATTTAGATTGGCATGTTGTGATCAAGACAAAACCATGTGATTTTCTATGATTTTCCTCTTAATGAAGATGTAATTGAGTCTTATCATGAACATAAAGAGATCGAGCATATACAACGAAATGTCTTAGTATGTGATAAAGATGTTATCTTAAATTGATTAGAAATAGAAAATGTTGATGTTGAACAAGGGCAATAACTTTTAACCTGTTAATAGAATATGAAGATATAGAACATGAAACTGACCATAAAGATGATCTTATTTTCAGTGAAAAAGAAGGGTGGTTCCGCCTGAAGATCTAGTTGATGATGATGATTTATGATCATTTTTCTTTGAATTTTAGTTTAATGTTTTGGGACAATATTTTGGAATTTACTATTTAAGTTATTTTATTAACTTATTGTTGTTTAATTTAATTTAATTTTGGTAGTTTTGTTAAGGTTTTTTCCTCATAACATGAAGTTCATTTATGATGTATATTGCATTAATATTAATAATATATATATATGAAATATATAATAATGATATGAATTTTTATACAATTTTTTAAAAATTTTATATTGTTTTCATAATTAGTTATGTAGGCAATGAGGTATTTTTTATTTTTCATGACCTTATTGTTGGAGCTAAAAGAGAGCTTCAATAAAAGAAATGAAAATTTTTAAGAACTTAATTGCAAAATCTAAAATGAAGAGTGATGAAATAGAAAATTAAAAAGGTGACATTAGGGCCTATTTGAATGAATTTAAAAGTTGAGAATTAACATGCAAATAAACTATTATTGCAGGACTAAAATCGTTATTTTACAATTAGATAAATTGATCATATTGTCTTAAATCTACTAGGAAAATAATAATTTATGTTTGTTTCTTGTTTTGTGAGAAATGTTATTTTATAATGTTGATTTTTTTAAGAATTTATGAAATTTTACATCCTTACAAATTATGGATTATTAGTTTTTAAAAAAACTATTAAGATTAATTTTGTAATATTTAAATGTTATTGTCACCAAATTTATATACAATCAAATTTTTTTATTTATAATAAATTTTTTGTTAGTCACAAATATTCATAGATTAATTGTGATAAAAAATTTTGTTATATCTTGCATTTTTTTAGTAACAAATTGCAATAATCACAAAATATATTTGTTATAAATCATGAATTTAGTCATAAGAAAAAAATTAGTATCCATGACATAAATTTATTGTTTATAACTAATATTTTATTTTACAAGTTATTAATAGTTATTTTATTGTGATAATTTTGATAATCACAAATTTAGATAATTTATCGTGACAAATCTTTTACGATTAAATGTAATTTTTGTGTCAAAATTATATATTATAATTTTAAAAATTAATATCAGTGATTATTATCTCAAAATAGTCACAAACATGAAAGACATTAATGATTAACTGAAATCAGTCACCATTTTCCTTCGAAAATCTTGTTTTATGTTAAAAAATAATTTTAAATATCAAGTAATATGTTCATCTCTAATGATGAACAATGTAGTGAGAAAAATGGAGAAAGGGAG